CCAGGGATGGGGCATCCACAGCTTCTCTGGGCAACCTGTCCCACTGCCTCCCCACCCTCTCCAGGAAGAACTTCTTCCTGATATCTAATCTAAACCTCTCCACTTCCAATTTAAACCCGTTACCCCTTGTCCTGTCACTCCCTGCCCTTGTAAAAAGTCCCCCCCCCAGCTCCCTTGTAGCCCCTTCAGGCACTGGAAAGCTGCAATATGGTCTCCCCGGAGCCTTCCCTTCTCCAGGCTGAACAAGCCCAACTCTCCCAGCCTGTCCCCATAGCAGAGTGGCTCCAGCCCTCGGATCATCTTCGTGGCCTCCTCTGGACTCGCTCCAACCGGTCAATATCCTTCTGATGCTGAGGGCTCCACAACTGGACGCAGCACTCCAGGTGGGGTCTGGACTACCAAAGGCCTCTGAGAACCAAAGGCCTCTGGGAGCAGACAGTCCTCTTGCTGAACATCCCAACCACCTTTTCCAGCGTTAAGATCTTCCCAAGCATGGACAGGTTCCCAAGGGCAACGGGCTCACGTGCTGTTTTTAAGCACTGCCAAGGCTGCAAGCACCATGTAAAGCCTACAATGGGAAATATCTCCTCTCCTGTGGTGTTTCCCAATGCCCTGCTCAGCTAACTGACTCCAGGCTTTTTTTCTTCTTACAGCTGTGCAGGAAGGACAGTGGAGGGATCCTTGTATAGGATGTGACTCATGGCGGAGGCAGGAAAAAATTTGTGAATCTAATTAAATCTAAATTTCTGACTCTAGCCAAGCCATCAGATGGAACAGCTGTGCCACCTCCCCAGACCAAACCCCACTCCCTCTCCTGCTGCTGCCGGTGCTTGAACGGGATCTCCCAGGATTTTCCTCTCCCACCCATTCGGCTGCTGGAAAGAGCAACAACCAGTGCAGAGGAGAAGAGATTGTGCTGTCCCTTCCAAACCTCAGAACCTGTAAGGAGCATATTGAGCAGCTCTTAGCGGATTTTGGGAGACTGCCTCCAGACACAGGTAGTCCCAAATGGCCATGGTCTCCTAGGGGACATCGTTGCTTCCATCACCTGAACACCAGGAAAGCCAGCCTGTTACACCACACAGGGGCAAAATACAACGTATTATAAAATCACAGAATGGTTTGGGTGGGAAGGGACCTTAAAGCCCATCCAGTCCCACCCCCTGCCATGGGCAGGGACACCTTCCACTAGACCAGGTTGCTCCAAGCCTCATCCAGCCTGGCCTTGGACACTCCCAGGGATGGGGCATCCACAGCTTCTCTGGGCAGGATATGAGCAGGATATGTTCACTTCCCGGTTAACTGGAGATGTCAGGAGAAAAGGCATTATATTAAGCAGATCTCTGAACTAATCTCAGCCCTGTTATCTCTGCTTCTTTCATGTATGCCATCTGCAGACAAAACTCTCTTTCCTGTTTATTTCCACATGATGAAACCTCCACATTGTGTTTATTAGATTATCTGCCACACTGGAGAGCCAGAGATTATTTTATAAGATGGCTGCACATTACTGCAAATCAATTATTTTAATTGGTCCTTCCGGCATAAATTAGTTATCTGCTTTGAAGGAAGTTATACCTGCCAATGGCAAAACACCATCTGGCCAAAAAGAAAAGGCAGGAGAACTAAGCTTCCCTAAACACTCTTGTTTTCACTCGTTTTCTAACTTGACTCCTCCTTTCTGACGGCTCTCTCCCGGCGCCTTGCAATTACGTCAGTTCTCAAGCTGCTCATTCAGAAATTGCCAGGATACAGTTCCTTTTCCCCGTTTCATAACAGCTCATTTCCATGACTCTAAATGGAAACCACGTCCTTTTTCCATGTGGTGGTTCAAAGTGGAGAGGTGAAGGAGATGAGAATTTGCATCCATACGTACTGGGCTGTCAGGCAGCAGCAAGGAGATGGCCCGATTCACGCAGACAGGGCCGTAATACAGGACGTACTGCTCACGTTATTAGAGTCTAAGGGAAAAATAAAGCATTCTTCAACTGCTTTAGGACTCACTGTTGGTTAAAATTAAATTAAAACAGCACATTTCACATTGCGCCCATGTACGGATTGACTGACAATGTCTCACGTATTTAAGCTCCTACAGAAAAGTCAGTTAGATAAATGACATGTCACTAATTACGCAGCATACCTTTGGTGAGCGCTTGCTTAAGCCTGTTCTTCCTTAGCCAGAAGAACAGGTCACAGAAATGCTGTTTTCCACAGAACAAGTAATAAAGTTATCTTTTTCCCTAAATGAGTTTGCACAAGAAATACATTGCGTTCCAGAGAACAAAACACAACCGTGACCCACGGCATCATCTGTGCAAGCACAGGCTGCCTAAACAAACGCCGAGAAAGCCAATTTGCTGGCCCTGCGTGATCTCTTGGATCCCAGGAGCCTTACCTATCCAAGCACTGGCCATGGAAAGTAGGGGCTGCAACACGAGCCCTGACTCCCCAGCCTAAAATGCACGGATGTCACGTGGCGCTGCCATTCCAGGGGTTTTTGAACCAAGTTTCTTTCCTGCGTGGAAAAAGGGAAACCACCAAGGAGAGAAAACAGAGGTCTGATGGGAAGCTTTACCTTGTTATTTCCCTGGAAGGGAGCGTGCCTGCATCGAACGGGCTAGGTTACTTCCCAGCAGCCCTCTAGGGATTAATTCGATGAGCAGCGATAGCTGTGCGACCCTTTCTGAAGCTGTGTCCGCCCCGGCTGTTGACATTACAAACATATCACAGTGCCACCGACAACACCGTCAGCCAAGCACTGAACAGACCTTACAGTCAGGCTCGATCCCTCTGCACGTTCTCCAGAGGGCTTCAGCTTCCAGAAAGCTTATCTGCCCTCCGCCAACAGCGCTGGCAAAGAAAGACATCTCTCTCCAAGCTGCAGTCTCCCTTGCACTTATCACCTACAGCGCGGCTGCTGCTGTGACACGAGCTCTGCTCGCTCTGTTCATGCTGAACTACCCAACGATCATCGGCGAGGCCCCGAGGAGGC